ATTCTCATCAATGGCGATGCTTTAGAAGTGGTAGAAAATGTAAAGCTTTTGGGTCTTAATATCTCCAGTAATTTGACCTGGAATACCCATATTAATGAAATTGTTAAAAAAGCCTCTAAGAGATTATATTTCTTGATTCAACTTAGAGAGCCAAGGTTGCTCGGACTGATCTAGGGCTCTTTTATTCTAGTTGTATTAGATCAATCATGGACTATGCAGTACCGGTTTTTCACTATAGTTTCCCTAAATATTTAATGCGAGAATTAGAACACGTACAGAAGAGAGCAATGTCCATCAACTGTCCTGGTCAAAGCTATCATGAGGCCCTGGATATTATGAAATTTAAAGAATTAGCCATCCCGTCACGACGAAATATGTGAGTCACCTTTCGACAAAATTGTAAATGACAACAATCACCGTTTTCAAAAGTTAATACCAGCAGCACATGAAACTACCTACTTGTTAAGGCGTGCGCGACCTTTTAATTTACAACGCTTCAAAACCAGCCATTTTAAGAACAGTTTTATTATTTCCTCATGTCTTAAAACGAACTCATCTTAGCTTTCCCTTTTTTAGCCGATTAAACGCCTGTTAATAACTAAGTAGTTAATATCTAAATTAGTTTAATTTTACTATCTGTATTATGTGAGTAAATACGCAATTCAGTTTTTTCTTAACTGCTCTGTATTTATGAATAAATAAACTTCAAACTAAACTTCAAACTTCAAACTTCAAATGCCATGGGTACAACAAGTGAGATAAAGGAAGCCACAAATGCGATGGATTTTGAAAACGGCTTAATCTTAAAGAGCTGTCTAGGCTTTAGTTAAAACAACAACAACAGACAATAATTTATCAAAAATAATAACGACGGTAGCTTGTTCCAGACGTTTAGTTAGTAAAACGGAGCTAAATGTTGAAATGCAATTCAATATCAATTAAAAGTAGGAAAACCTCTTGGTTTGGATTTAATATGTGTTTAGTGACGTCAAAAAATTTAGAAAATGTCAGGTTCGGAAATGCATGAGGCACTGGATAGGTACAAGTTTCACTTTACCCGAGTATGGGCGGCCCCGCCTATACCCGTGGACCTCGAGGACTCAGACTTCCTCGTGTCGAAGCGCTAACATAGTGCAGTACTTACTTGCGGCTTCCATCGCGATATGAGTGGTAAAATATCTGTTAAGTCGATACAAGGCCATACTCTTGAGTTTCATATTTCGAATAAAAAGAGTACTTGCAAAGTAGACAAATATAGCAGAATTTTCGCAACTCTTTATCGACGTGATCGCTCGTTTCGTATCGCTATCTTTGAACGAGTCAGACATCTCTACGAGTGAGATTTGTTGTCATGATTATTCATACTTTTCCGTCAAATTCTATTGGCTAATATTTTGACACTTTTAACGATCAGGATGCCGGAATATGGACACCGCTCTGGGGCCTGGAATCGGAAAACAGTAGCATCCTCGCAGGCTCTCGTTATCAGTACCAGACCCTTGGCAGAACTTTCGCCGGCTCGCGATGCTCTTTCTACCGTCCGGCGAGCAGAGAAACGCTCGTGCCTGATATTAAATGAGGGCGTGCAGGACTGCTTGCAGGCTGTGAACAGGAGGAAAAGCTCTTCTGTGCTTTAAGTTAATATTACAGCCGCTCGTATGAACACAGTATAATTTGACACCATTTTCGTTGACAATACGGAGCGCCGCAGAGTTTTGACAGCTAATTTTGGCAGGCATTATAGACAGGAGCGTTGTTATGTTTAATGTGCACGCACAATCACTCACCTTAATCTTATAAAAAGCTCTATCGTGAAAATTTGTGACATTCAGTTTAACATTGGATCTTTAGATTAGAAATCTGCGCGCAAACATAATTTTGCAATTTAAAATTAGGACATCGCGTGTGCATCATTCACCACAAAAACAGCGTAGCAAGAATTTATTTGTACATAAGCATGCCGCGACAGCTACTTTTGGACAATGATTGCAAAGAAAAATGGCAAGTTTTGAAAAACATTGTTAAAAAAAAAAGACAGTTTTCAAAATTAATACTGAAATTAAGTTTGCATAGTGATTTTGTAAAGATGAAATAAACAATTTTAAAAAATCCCATAGTGATTTTGACCCTGCTAACGTGCCATATTGACAATTGACGATTAGTCTTTTGCCAATTTGACAGTTGTCAGGCAATTCTGACGAGACCCTCAAACAAAGTCCTAACATGTACGGCATGTTTCTCCAAATACTTAGGTTCGATATTTTCTGGTGTATTACTATCTTATGATTAGACAGGGTCAATGTTGTAAGTCCTCTCAGGCGCCTTTCTTTTCATGAAAACCAATCCAAGAGTCTTCCCTCCTCATACCGACTGTTTGGTTAAAAGGCATTTTCAAGGCAATTTTAAATTGCGTTACATGTGGACTTATTACACAGAGGTCAGTTTGCGATTCGCATCTGTTTTCAATAGTTGCTTTCGTGTGAGAACTAAACATCAAGGGCTGTGAGCAAAAGGTATATGTTGATTTCAATCTGCCGTAATGATCAATTAGAGAAGATAACTTGTGCTAAGATACCTCTTTTCTATCTTGAGAATTCTTCATCTCAGCTTTTCAATCAATAATCCAGTGTGCAGTTGTTTAGACATTTTTCAGGAAGCTTGTGTTCGTCATTCATGTGCACAAAGAACTCGGGATACCCTTCGTAAATGGGTTTTATAAACACCGAAGTTAATTCCGTTGAACAGACTAACGTGCGGGACGCCTGCTGGAGGCAGTTTTCGGTTGATTATTTAATCTTGAGTGACGTTATCAAAACAGCGGTGGGGCGTGCAAAGGATAATGGACTTATCCTCTTGAGGAAGAGATTTTGCTTTATTAAACCTGTACAAGTCTTCCACGCTCGGGGAAACTGGTTATTGTTAACCGATGAATGGAAATATGAATTCTCAGCTCATATTTGGAGAGCGGAATGCAATTCCTTCACCGCAGGACTTTCGGCTGGCGGCAAATTCACTGCGATTAGAAACCAAAGTATGACTGAAATAACAATTTTGCAGGAGCTCCTTTCACGGGATGAAGCATGCAAGCTAATCCTGCCTGTTTGTCCTTTTGTCTGTTATTACTTTCGATGAATGTAGTGTTGTGCGAAACGATTGAACTTAGATGTGGGCCACTTTCATACCTTAAATTGTTTACCCAGCCCCTGAATACTCATTATTGATTGACGCACCGAATCGGATAGCTCTAACTCGCAGCATGAAAAACTCTGGTTGGACAATGGTATCGTAGTTAGCGGATTTGCGTGAGTGACCTTTTCTATGGCGGTGAAAAATATAGGTCCTCAATGCGTACATGTGTGGCTTATTTTGTAGACGTTTTACAGAATGCTTTAGTGGGGGTCTTAGTTTTCGTAATTACGAAAACTAACAGGGGTCTTACTTCTCGAGATTACGAAAACTAAGACCCCTAAATTTACCGTTAAATTTGACCTTAAACTCGGTAAAAAGGATCGGACAGGAGATAATTTGACAGATTAGACCTGTTTTGGTTACGATTTGACTTTTTATTTCGACGGATTCGATTTTAGGGGGTCTTAGTTTTCGTAACACCCGTCATCATCCTTTCGCTATTGCCAGTCAAGAACCGACTGGGCTCTGGAGTTTTGTAATTTCTGTATCGAATTCTGTAAAAAGCTCTGTTGTTTCGGATGTGTCCGTGTTGAGTTTCGTAAGCGATGCCACAGTTCCACAGCTAATCTTCGCGTCAACTGCAGATTTCAACCAGGTGGAGGACTATGAGAGCGATTCGGATGACAGTGACAATGATGTCGATACTAAGTCAGAAGAACTGGTTATTGGTAAGCCAATCATGACAAGGTCCAAGACCCTCCATTAACAAAACCACTATGCAAATAGACCTTCTATGCACCCAACTGAAGAAAAATTACTATCCTTTCTCTGTACATTTTTTTATGAGACGAATAAATGACAAGTACAGGTGTACCGCTAATTTGTAATTATTACGCAGTAGTATCCCAGCTTCAAAACTGACACGATCGCCAATCTTATACTTCGAAATTCTCGACCGTCATTACTGATCAAGCACTACATTCATTCTTTCATTCTTTGTCATTTTTCACATGCACACAATCAGATTTGACGTAGACAATTGAACTAAAAGGCAACAGACGAAAAGGGCCCGTAACAGCCTGGAGCGGCGACGCCATTTCGATGAAGTCACCTTAAAGACATTTGGCTATTTCCTGAACTGTTAACCGCACCAAATTGTGCTCGAAATCATCATATTACCTATACAAAACAATTTTTCTTTGATCAAGAACGACTTGTTTACAGTTTTGAGTGCCAGGGCAAAGTCAACTGTGATGGTGTGCGCTCGCTTTTGAAAAATAAAGTGGTTAGAAGGGTTTTCTTTACGTTTTTCAAAAAACTTCCATTAAAGCAAATTCGGTTCCTGCTCGGGAATGATACCAACCTTTCTTGTCTCGTTTTCCGTGAAACGAAACGGCTTCTAAGCTTTCATATCACTTTGTTCCTCAATTTTTTTGGATTTTTCCACCTTGTAGCACGAACTATCGAAAATCGCTTGCGTTTTCTTTGTTTTTACTGTCTTCTACCACTCCTTTCGACTGCATTACCGAAATCGTCCAAAAAGCACGAACTAAGCAAGTCCGCTCCACTCAATTTTGTTTTTCTTGCGCGGGATCAGAGCGAGCAATCCCGAGCGGACAAGATGGGCTCATCAGAACACAGGATTTGCTTCATATTACCCTTGGGCGGTTGCCTACAACAGACTCTTTACTTTAATATTGTCAACTCAGTACACTACAAATCAAACTTAAAATGTATATGGTTCACTAGACGCATATCTGCGTGTACTCAGGTGTTCACAATATTAAGATCTAGGTACAGTCTTTACAATAAAGGCATGAAAATACCTGCAATGGCCCAATAAAACCTAAAGTTTTCCTCGTACGTTTTATTTAAAGCATGATTTGGCGATTTTTTTTCTCGTGAATCGTGATTTCATTTTTTCTTTATTCGTCAGAATCGCGATTGAAAATGATAAGATCTTTTCATGCCCACGTGAAGAGCTAAATTAAACGTGATTTGTGAACCATCCTAATTTGCTCGGTGAACTCCTGGCTATTTAACTGTTTTTAAAATGTACGTATTGTTCTCAAACGGCTGTGCTCAGGTTTTGACCAAAGTTTTGACAGGATATGGACTTCATATGGATCGATAAAAGTCATAAAAAAGACAACTAGTGGTCCTTGAGCAAATAAAATAAGTCATTACTTCATCTTTTGTCACTCAGACTGATCAAGACTGGAAANCCGAGTTTTACAGAGGGTACTGTGTGCCCTCTTTAAAAATTGATCTTGTTTAAATGCTGTGTTGGATGTTTTCCGAAATGTTTTCTAAGCGTGACAAAAATTCCAAATTAGATGTAATATTAAAAAATCGATCAGTACTGGTGTAAAGGAAGAGTTTGGTAAACCTTGAATAATTACTTCTTGTAATATTCATGGAATTATAACTTGAATTGTAACTTTTTCAATATAGGTCCTATCTGGAGTTGCTCTTCCAATACAAATGCTGGTAACTTGTGACTTTATCACCTCGTAACATTTATCAACGAAAATACTCTTTGGAACCTTAGTTTTGACAACGTCCAAACCTGCTACAAATAACCCGTCATTCTCAGATTGTCCTTTATTTCTGGTCGCATTGCTATTCCTCGAGTGGATTAGAGCGTGACTGTCGCTGGTCTTCCTGATGACTCTTCAACAACAGTTTACAATAGAGTTAATAGGCCAAACATGTAAAAATTGCTTGAGATCAACTCTAATTATTCATGAGAACTTTAATAATATGTAACATAAATCCTTGGAAGTGTTTGGTCAATTACACCAACACCAGACAGGTCCATTTACAAAGTTCAATTTAACTTTCATTGAGAGACATTCATTGTTATAGGATTAATTATGAGGTAATTACTTCTTCATTATGCCACTAAGTTCTTGTTTAAAATTTGCGTGACTGGATCTGCAACTCATTTTTTTTTTGTGTCAACGACGATTATCCAAGCTACTTCTTATTTGTTGGAAAGGGTGATCAACCCAAATTAGCAATTACGTTTGATCTGTTTCACTCATTCCCATTCCAGTAAATATGAACCCAGGAGATGTACCAATTCGAAACTCAAGAACTTCAACCAACCTGGCAAGAAAGTCTCAAGATTATCGCTCTGAATCAAGAAATTGTCGATCCATTCATCAAGATGATTCACTGGCTTTTAAGTCCTTTCCAACTAATCAACTGACGCCAAGTACTCGTAACCAAATTTTTAGAAACATTCCTCATCCATCCTAACCACTTCCCCTTGATCAGTGTAGATGCAAAGCACCCTTGCTTTAATGCCAGAGCAGTATTTTTACTGCACAGAGAGTGATGTTGCCTTTTCGTAAATATGAGATTATAACGCTCTCAGGATTGTAAGCATAACATAAACAAACCGAATCATATGATATTTACTACTGGGTTGTAACTACAATTATTATTATTATTATTATTCCTAAAGGTTATTTTCGACTGCCTCGGAGATCTCAAAGAGTCGTGCTTGCTTAAGTAGATTGCTGATTTGTAACGTTACTTACAAGACCTTGTTGATCTCCCTGCATCGAGTTTTTTACCAGGAACATTGCCAGGATTGTGTGCTATTTCCTAAATCTCTCTGTAAACGAAAGGACTGAGCACCGTCTCAGTCAATCAGCCACAGACCGAAAATGATTCTCTGTTTTTTAGAAATGCTAATTTCATGCCTGTCTACTTCATTAACTCCTTTTAAACGCATCAATAAATAAGCAATGTTGGCGAGGCGTTGTGAATATTCACTTCATGGGGCTTATGTCGAGCTAACTTTGAAGGGACTGCATCACGATGTTTTGGGAAATGTTCCCCTCTTTACAAGAAACCACACGATCGTCAAAGCATAAGATTAGTACAGTTACAATACTCTCTCCGAGGACGCTATCCGTGTAGGGACTAAGGCGATCCTAAAATAGATCTTTGTATAAGTGTGAAGCGCAGTTTTAATGTATGCCGTCCGAGTCCATTATTCTCTACCCTGATCCGAATAACAGATAAATGCAGCCCCCTTTCCAGAACCATTTCGAAGCCTCTGTCAAAAATGGACTTGGATAAAACTCGTCTGGTTCTCATTTCCATAGCTTTGAAAAAGAATTTGACAGCAAAGACAGTTGTAATTGTTTCCTTCGATTTCTTTCCATCAAAGGAAAATGAGCACCTTAATTAGTTCCCGGTAGATTCACTTTTATAATAAAACGTTTTCTGTCCTGCTGCAGTTGTGAAAAGGGGAATGTTTCATCGTTATAATTTTCTGGTTATATGTCCGGATGCGCTGCCTCATCTCTCATCTTATTTACATGGATGTTAAGTACTCCGCGCTTGACCCGTCATACATTTAAAAAATTAAATGGCAAAGTAGCATCTCGGCAATACAGTTGTGTTTTTACAGGGAGCCAACGTAAGTTTCTTAATACAGGAGAGATATGGTCATACTTCTTTACGTTGCAGATGATTCGCGCGGCAAAGTTTTAAACGTACTGCAATCTACGAATATTACAGGCTTAGGTGGATGACCATACACTGATGAACAGTAATATAGTTTATTGAAAACAAGCGGGTTTATTATGGTTTCAATCAGTTGTTTGTCAAAAACGAATCTAATACGGGTTATTTGAGATAATTTCGACATGCAAGACGATACAACAGTAGAAATATGATTATCAAAAGATAGCGTGGGATAAAAAAATTACTCCAAGGTCTTTGATCGATTGAGTGATTGATTAATCTGATTTATATCTGAATAACTCTATGATATAATACATTTTTCAAGTGATATGGATATTTCATAATTTCAATAGCACGACTAATCGATGTTGTAAATAAATACTTTTCTTGAATGATCAAGTACCAACTTATTTCTCACATTGCTTGATTACTATCGCGTAACACCGATTCTGAAATTGAAATCACTGTTCCAGCTAAACTCAGATTTAAAATTTACGTTCTAGCAAGAGGAACTTGCAGTCAAGAGCCTTTAGGCATGCTTATTTCAGCTCTCATATTTTCAGTTTCGATCTCCCTTGCAGAATCAACAGTGTACTGTTTTACAACTGAACTGTCAGGCCGAAAATCCTGCAATAATCCATGGCCTCATTGATACTGCATGGATATTGAGGGGGTGTAGAGAGTTTTCGAAGCAACTTCTTGTATTCAGTATTAAGAGAGCCACCTACAAGAGTCAAAACATGGGATGGACAAGAAACTTCATCAACAACACCAAATCTACAAAAAATATTTACTTTACAGTAAAAGGGGAATTAAGAGTCTTATTTTTTTTTTATAAATAA